ACAAATTGAATCATTGTCCCTGATTTGGGCTGAATCCGAACCCAAATCAAATCAGGCCTGCTTCACACACCCCTAGCATTTAGCATGTGTTGAACTATTTGAACATGTGATACCAGGGTTGTTGACCCCCAAAAATGTATTTTTACTGATAATGTTTTTACTACAAACTTTTTACTGACAACCAATATTTTTACAGGTGCATGTTTTTACTGATATATACTTTACATAATGTAAACGTAACTTTTCTGCCAGATCTTGCTTTGTTGCCAAGCCCCAGTTAGAAGAGCTGGGTCCAAATTTGGGGGTTTAACTCCAAGCATACTAAAAAAGTAAAAAAGTTTGGCTGCCAGTAAAAAGTTTGCAGTAAAAAAATTCTTGGGTTGGCAAACCTACTTGACTGCGGCAATGGTTATACACCATGCTGCTCCCACCCCAGGTGTTTCCTGCTTACTCCCATACCATGATACCCCTGGCTGCATGCTTCATGATGCTGCCTTCAACAGCCCACCTCCCAAGCCTTACTCCCAAAGAATCCTACCTTAAATCCAGCAATATTACAAGATGGGAAACAGCAGCAGCCCATAGTTCGGTGGGAGGGTGGTCTACAAAGCCTTAAGAGAAGTCTTTCTGAAGGCTGATACACTCCTGCTCAGATACCAGGTGGTGCTGCTGTATTCTCTGTGTACTTCAGTGAAGCTCTAGCTTCCAGCTTCTTTCCAAGAGTGAGTTTTGTAAAGCAGCTGGAGTTTGATTTTTTTTACTGGTGGCTCTTTTTTGTTTTGCTTTAAAAAAAAAAAAGGTTTTATAGACAGGTCGCTTCTAGCCTGATTTTTCACTGGCTGCCTGTAAATTTACAGACGGTTTGCAATCCACTGTGATACTATGTGAAAGAACTGATTACTAGATGAAACTACAGTAAACCTTAAAGAAAAATGTCACAACTAAACAAACCAACCTTGAAATCTGACTACAGTAGACAAAAGTTTATGAAATAGAAGATTCCTTACACTGTATTCCCTCTGGCATTGATATATAATCAGATCCATATGGGTAGACTTCAGCCAATGGCAGAGCAACCCAATTTCAACAAAAATTCAGTTTATCTTGTGGCCAAGCAAAGAGAAAATGGAAAGACAATGTTGAATGAACTCTTAATATGAATTATCAACTAGTATCAGCAATGGGAGAAAAATGCTGTCAGTAGAAAGAAATGATGCAAACAGTGAGAGCAGATAAGAAACTGTGAGGTCTATAGAGCAGACGAGTAAGTGACAAAACAACCTGAATGCAACATATTTCAAAAGCCATCTCTGAAAAAGTTATTTAAATTATAGCATGAACATAAAGGCTTAAATGGAAAACCTGATACACTCTTAGCTATAGGACAGCAGGATGATCAGCTACAGATGTAAGCAATCAAGTGCACACCCCTGACCTATTCATGAAGGGGTTATATATGATAATGCATTTCATTGACACATGGCTTTCCGAATGCTTAGACCTCTAAGAGCACTTGAGACAAGAGCATGACCTGCAGTTCAACATTTAAAGGTTTGACTTGATAAGGAGATCCAAGGTCTTGTCTAGCACTGGGGTGGACTCCCGTTATTGTATCTTGACTAACAGTAAAACTTGTGCTGAACTGGCAAAAGTGCAAAAAGCAACCTAAAAGTCCAAGAAACAAGAAAATGTAGGATTTGGGGTAAAAGGTACTTTTCTCTGGCACGCTGTTAGACAAAATCATGGATGGCAAAACTCTTTAAGGGGAGTCATGTCAAGTGTTTTTTTTTCCAATTGCTTCCCTAAGTGGGCCATCTATGCTACTGCTAGCAAGTTTTTGCTGTCTGCCAGAAGTAGTCACTTGACTCATTTGCAAAACGTCTGAGGGCTTAAAGTGGAGAAGATGTTTCTAATCAGGTTCTTACAGCATACTCCATCACCACACCATGTTAAGTTGTTGTTGAAGTGGAAAAAAGAAAAAGCGAACTTGGTATATGAGACTAGATGGCTGAGTTTCAAAATTTCTAAATACCTGCTAAGAAAGCCGTATCTCCAGCACACACAATATCTTCTTTGTAGGAAGACAGTTGTATTATTCCCCTGGAGCATAACCACTGTACATCTGAGGTTCCCAAGGGCAAAGAAATCTTTTTGATACTCAGGATCCAGACCACTGAAGGCCTTGAAAGGAAAGATCAGGATCTGTAATTTGACCTAGTTTTTAAAAGTGAGCCAGAGGAATCCCTGCTATGGTACAGGTGCATGTTTTTGGTAGTCAATGCCATTCAAAGAGCTGTTACACAGCACAAAGGCGATTTTTTTTCAATCCAAGATTTATGGGTCTCCAGTAATTTAAGCCAGGTTACCCTGGAAAGGACAGAGCAAGGTCTTAACTAGTCACAGATAGGCTTTTTTGTTGTTGTTCTCAGCCAGCATATAAGAGTGTAGCAAGAAAGAGAGAACTTATTTGTAGACAAGTACCCTTAGCTAGAAGAAATATGAAAAAGTAAGGATGAGTAGTTTTTCCTTGGCCTACCACTATGACTTTCATTTTCAAGCCAGATCCTTCTCACTCAGATGCCTGGATAAATGAGTGGTGGTGGTATATGCTTAGGATGTGAACACCAGAGAGTTTAATATTATCTACATAGGGTTGGCATACTATTTCTTGTAGTAGCTCCATATAAGTTCTCGAAGTGTAATAATTGTGTTGGCTGTGTAGATGTACTCATAGATGAAAACTGTGGTGTCAGAGAAACTATTATCAAGCAGCACTCTGGACTGTTAAAGCAGCAATTAAACAATTTCAGGTTGTTTCCTGAATGTAACAACCATTGTGGCTTCTGGGCATTTAGATGGATAAAGGAATGCCCCTTGTTCATGGTCCAAAGATACTAATATATCAGTGCTGCCAGGGTTATTTTTGATCCATGTCCTGGTCTGAAAATTAGTGGGCATGACCTAGGCTACTGCCTGTTTGCTTCTCCCTCCTACACCCTCCAAACTCCTGGTGTCTCAAGAAACAGTGAGAAGAGGGTTATGCTGTGGAGGAAGTATTCTTTTTACAGCTCTCTGAAGTCTGAGATCTGCCCAAACATGGTGTCCTGCACTTACAGTATATCATTTCTTGACCGTAAGAGCTTGTCATAAACCTGCAGAACAATGCAGCAGCATTTGACTGTTTATGAGTCAGATTATTACCCTAACATCATTACAACGTGAAACAAAAGCTTTCCTTCCCCAAAAGGACCCCTTATCTGAAAATCATATATTTGGAAGTCTCTTTAAAGCTGATGGCTTACAGAATGGTAGCTTTATGGCTTCCTCTACACTGGTAATTAAAACCAAACAAGTATCTAAGCTAGTTGTCATTGAAAAATGACAACTCTACAGATCATTCCTAAGACTTTTGTGTAAGTGCAATAGTTGTGTTCCTACCAAGCCAATACAAACCTAAGTAATGGAGCAGTTAGGCACTGAAGGGGATCAAGGCCTGGGTTAAATAAGATTTTGCTGGATATCAGAGGAAAATGGTTCAACTTCATGTTTGTTGTCTGCACTCTTTTTAAAAATATATATAATTTATTTGGTTTTGTAATCTTTTTAAACACTGATCTTATACCAGAAATACCCAGTAACACACCATGCATTAAGGTTGTGATGCTGGTTAGGAGGGTTTTGCAATGGTTACTAACCAGGATCCTATGCAGCACAACTATTTTATGCCAAAAGGTAAGCATTGTGTATCCCCAAGTATAAGGAGTAAATCAATGGCAGGATTTTTTTTTAAATTAAACATATATTTATAAAACACAGAGACACAAAAGATATATAAAATGCTAAGAATATTTTAAATTCTACATGAATATATAAAAGAACTTTGATGTTACATGTGTGAAAAAGCGTCTGGGATTTTCAATCATTTTACCAGCGACAGTCACTGTTAGGAAAGAGGGGTGGTGAGATTTTTTTTAAGCGAATCAAAAATTCTGGCTTAAGTGATCTAGACTAAGCACATGTTCATAAAGCAAAGATTACTTTTATCCATTAGATCAGATAGCTATTATGTTTGAGAGTTATGGCTCATGTATTATTTACTTTTGAGTAGCTCTAGATGTACACATACATACATTACACACCCAATGGCTGGCTATAAATAAGGGGTTTGGAAATAAAAAATACTTGAAAACGTTCTACAGGGTATCAAAGTTCATAAACATACGCTGGGGATTTCTAGTAGATGCCTTGGTAGCAGAGAATACTACAAATTCCCTAATTTTACTTATACTGTTCTGTGCATTATGTATACAAATACCCTCTTCCAAGTAAAAGAATAGAAAAAAATTGAGTAGTCAAGACTTTTAGAATCAAATTCTGTTCTTAACAAAGCACAAAAAATAACAAATTCCATAAAGCTTAATGTTATTTTTCTAAAGTATCACTGGCCCATAATGAGAAACAATCTATTATATAGATTTTACATTCAATCTCTTTGTCAAAAACTACATAGCACATCAAAAGTTAATAGCACTAGGGAGTTCAGTGATTAATACAAATACAAATGGTATATTACAAATTTTCTTTTGTTCTTCATTCACAATGATGAAACTGCTAGGATTTAACCTTTAAGGGTTAAAGAGTTTAATCAATGTCAATGTCTGATCTTCTGAAGGCGATAAAGAACAGTCTGTCTTGCGATACCCAACAGAACATCACTTTGTCAAGCCACAAAGCGCCCAAAAGCTTGTCAAGTAAGTTACCAGAAACCTCTTTGTGGTTAGAACTCAGCTCCTTCCTGCTTGACCTATTATTTGATATTTGACCACTTGGTTGCAAGACACTTGCTCTTTCCAGCTGAAATGTCACTGGGGCATCTTGTCAGCTCCCCGACATCTCGGCCTGACATACAATTTTACTTTTGTGTGCTACAAGGCAGAAAATGCAGGGCAATGGCCTTGCTTTAAATTCTGTCAGCATCAAAGATGGGCGTCACTCTTGGGTCCTACCAACAACAACAAAAAAGGAGTCTATTTTGAAGGTCAAAACAGCCATTACTTTAAAGTCTTTCTGCTTAAACTAAATATATTACCTGCAACATTGGTTTGGGAACTGTCCTTATAAAGTACATAAACATATCATCAGAAATCCTCCCTGCACGATTGCTCTACTTTCTTATCAAATGCAGACTTGATAAAAGGATGAGTTTTCAATGCCTGCAGGGACCAGATTCAGCAGTTAACTTAACTTGTTCAAATGGGCAAGTGGTATCATGTAGCTTTACAAGGAGCAACCTGACCTTCTCACATTGACCAGGAGTGACATTATTGTGCAGGAGGAGAAGCAGTCACATCATTTCTGTTTTGCACAACCTGCTTAAAGTTTGCAACTAAATGCTTGTCTTCAGCTGAGCTGACAAGAGAGAAGAGGGGGCTCAGTGAACCATGGCAGGGCTGCCATGAAATGACAGGAATCATTGGCATACATTTCAAATAGCTCTCTCAATCCTATTAAAGTATTGCAGTCCTGCTTTAAAATAGACAAGTATGAAACAACTTTGATAGATAGAGACTAAAATGGCTTATTGATTTTTTTTAAGTCTGAGGAAAATTACCCAAAATGTGTCATTCTTTAACATTTAAAAATACATTACATAAAAATGAACAACCGTAATAAATAAAACTTTAAAAAATAACTGTTTTGCTATGTAAAGAGTGAGAAGCTGGGAAACATGGACATATGAACAAATGCACTGATTTCACACAAATGTAAAATGAATGCCAAAGAATACGTAGTATAAAATACAATTCAAAGGTAAAATATCCCAATAAAATATTTTAATTGAATCATTTAATGTGGATACAACCTGTTCTTTTAGAAATACAGTATAAAGAATCTTAAAATCCATTCTGTACAGTCCTTTTGGGGTTAGCCAAGACATTCAGGGAAGAGGAAAAGGATGAAGATTGAGAAGGGGATCTATTGTGTGTAAAGCTGTACGATGTATCTGGCTCAGCTTGCAATGGCAAGAAATCTGGAATACAGCTCTGATCGGGCTGAAGCACTGATCTGGAAGCCATGGTGATGTTTGAACTGTCTTGTGAACTCTGGAGTAAATTTAAAAAAACAACAGAAACAAAAACAAAGAAAAAGATACATTTATTTTGCATTAATCAGTAATTGGAATACTTCATTGTATCCTTCACATATTTACAAATATGGAGGTATCTGCAAGATTTTTTTGCTCAAATAATTCAGCAAAGATTGACAGATATTTTAACCCTTGTAAAACAGGAGAAAAGAATCCTACTGAGAATACTTTGCATTAGTACTGAGCTCTTGGAAACTTTAGCTTCCACCGTCCAAAAAGTAGTGCACATTTACAGCTTGCATTTACCTCTGATAATTGCTGAAATTCTTACCTTAAATCTGATATGAGGCCTTTTTTCTTGAGCAAAACCTTATTCCAAGCTCTTCCTATCACTGTTATTGGGAAGAAAAAGGGGTTTTTTTGCTAATAATATGTACTACTGAAAAGAACTAAACCATTATTATTATTTTAATATTTTTTGGATCATGAGCTGATCACAGTACACCTTCAGAATATACTTTATTTTTAAATGTGATTCATGTTTCAACAAATCTTGGCTTTAAGTCAAGTAGTTACAATGGTAAGTACCACTTAGCACCAGTTAATATTCAGCATCAAGGACATCTGAGCACCATAAAATTGTGCAGTCTCTCTTGAAAATGTATAGATCTTTGAGATAGTGTAATTTTAACCATTGCAACTCTGGTATTTTTCAAAATGCTAACCAAGAATTTTCAAGGAAAAAGCAACTTTCATCCAACAATAAGAAATACAATGTTTTTACAATCTGTAAAAAGCACAATGGATTATTTCAGTATATTTTACATAAATAATATAAGTGTCATGCAAAGTTTTAATATGCAAATGACAAGAGGGAAAACAGAAAAGGTTGTTTTGGAATTCAATTATTGTATGCTTCAGTTTGCATGTATTATGTATTCTACATATTTTACTGTAATCTGAGGGAGTGCATATGTTGATATATACAGATGACGAATTTATATGGGTGCATATGTGTATATATTATATTACATACATACAGAAAAAGGAGGGTGGGGAGAGAGAGACAGAGACAGAGACAGACAGAGACAGAGAGAAATGTTTCTCTGTTACAACTGCTAGAGAAAAATCAATTGTTGCCTCTAACACCTAGTTCAGCAATTTTCTTTGATGTTGACTCTTTTGATTTCCTGACACTCCACAAGCTGTCTTGTAGTTGACTGAAAACAGCCAGGTTTATACTAGTTCTTCAAGAAGAACTAAAATGGCAGCAGGTTCAAATGGCTACCGCCAAGAGAGATTTAAAGTGAAGCAGTACATTTTGCTAAACCGTGCTTATGAAGGTGAGTTAACCAGCAGAACTAGGAGCATCTCCACCATTCCAGTCCTACTGTGCCCATACTAAAACTTTACTGAACTGGTAACTAACATGCTGAAGTTAAGATCTCCATAAAGACTTCATTCTATTGCACCAAGTAGTTTATATTCTGAATTTATTGTATTTAGCCTACCTTATAAATCAAAATAAAAAATAAAATTCACTGACAATCTGAAATCTGAAAACAGAAACCCTGGTGATATGTTCGAAGGAATGTGATATTTAAGACAGTTTATGGTAATATTAAGAATACAAATAAACTGTTTAATTCTCAACAAACTGTTTTCTTTGCTTGGGGAAATTAAGGTACTAAAAAAATAAATCTAAGTCGGTCTTACTGTGGGTATCAAATACTGAGGAGGAGCTTGGTTAACATATCAGTTTTCACTGTTTTCCATGTCTCAGTTAATAGAACTATCATATTGATTAGAAATCACATCCTACAATCACATTCTCACACTTTTTTTATGGTTTTTTTTTAGACTTAGTGATTTTTTTGAAGAAACTAACCTCAAAATCCCAAGTAAGGAGATGAGAAATCAGGTTTCCTTTGAGAATAGCACAAAAATGTATGAAACTTAATGATTGGCAGCAAGTCAATAGACTATGTTACAGTAAAAGCTTTAATGCTGGGGGAAAAAAGCTCTGTTTTAGTTATCCAGGTCCTATGCTGCACTTCATACAAAGCTAGAGAAGAATAAGATTCACAGAATGGGATGGAAATCAGATTTTGTAGCAGTTTGATTGATGTACAAAAATCTTAGCTGCTATTCATGTGAACTGTTTTGATCCTATACCATTATATACATTTACAACCAATAAAAATAATATTCTATAGCACTGTAGAAAAATTAAACTGGAATAACTCAGAACCATTATAACACACCACTGGCTGAAAAGAAGCATATATGCAGGAATTTTAAAGCTAGTTATTATTTCCCCAGAAGACCTTTTTCAACACCATTGCAGTCTATACGTATTTAGACACCTTTTAAAATGTGTATTATTAAGATGACAAACTGAAATGGCTGTGCAGAAGCTGTGATGATAGTCTATCATGTAAATATGTATTTAGATGATTTTTAAAAAGGGAATTATTTATCTGAAATAAGGGCTTTGGTTAGGTAAATCTTTAGCGTAGCACTTTTATTTACCCAATAAGCTGTAAATGGTTCCATCTAAATGGTTACACTCCATCAGGTAAATATATATTTAGGGTGCATTGCATCCAACAGAAATATGCATTCAAAAGGCTTGTGAAACATAATAATTGGGCATGTTCTTGGGCTGTTTTTCAAAGTTTGATAGCCTAATTGTTAAAATGTGTTTTTCTAAACAGTAAAATATGAAACAGTCCATTTTACACAATAATTGTGTTCTGATCTGTACTTAAATCAAAGCCAGTTTGTGTGGTAATATACAAGCAAAAGGCTTTTATAACACTGATGCCATCTTGTTTTTCTCATACAACTGCCCTACAATCAAGTTGACATCTTATTTTGAAGGTCTCCATGAAAAATGTGCTATTTTTCTGTTTAAAATAATTCATGTTAAACTCAGGTTGCTCTATATGACAGTGTTGGAAGATTATAATACTGTCACATGTAAAATTATTTTGTATCATACTGTATGAGGATGTCTGTATATGGGATAGCATCACATTGTGATCAGAAGGACTCCTCCTTGTTTTAAAACTGAAATACTTGTAGAATAACACACACAACAGTTTTACACCTGCGATTAACAGATTTTGTGAGGTTTCGTAGCTATCCAGATAGATAATACATACTGTCACAATAAAGTACGCTGTTTACTTTCAATAGTAACAGTAAGATCTATAACTCAAATAAAATCCTAAATCAGTCAGGATGGTCTCAACCATCAAATCTATACAAAGATAATTTTACTGTACGAAAATCCCCTCATTATGCACTGCATTCACCTTACTTGGCACTTTCTCGTTTCCCTCTTTTCTTGGCATATCTTATTTCCCTCCAACGTTGGTATGTGTATGACTTTCTATATTAATGTTCACTGTTTAAAACTATGTTAAAAATCATAGCAACAAATTAATCACTAGTTTTCTTTACTTTTGTAACCATACTATGCAATAAATTAAAGAAACATTAAAATATTAATGTTTATCAAGATCCTTCATTATTTAAGGACAAGTAAGCAATATGATTTTCATAGGTATTCAGCACCCAGTTTTGATGCTGTTAGAAGTGAACTGTGACTAATTCAGCATCTCTTTAAATAAGGTCCAATGTTTTAAATTTTATTTTAATATATTTTCAATATTTCAACCAGCATGGGGTAGTTATAAAATATCAATCCAAGTACACAATACAACAATATATTGTTATATTTTTTTGCTGCCACAAGAAAGACAAGGAATTTTGGGCTGCTGTTGCATGCAAGATCATTAGAAGTGATAGTACCACCTGCTTTGCACTGCTTAGCCCAGTTGTAGGCACTTCATTTTAAGAGTGGTATAGAAACTGGCAAAGATCCAAAAGTAAGCATTAGAAATTATATAGGTGATGGAAAGCAAGCCACATGTGGAAAGGGTCAGAGATAGGGTTACCATATTTCCAATTCCAAAAGACAAGACACCTGTTGTATGGAGGGGAGGGGGTATATGATTGTGGGGGACAGCGATATGCCAGTGCTCTGCCCCTGCCTATTTTGTTGCCACTCACTCCCAAGCCATAGCCCCCCCACAGGCCTGCTGCTGCCCCTCACTCCCAATCTGCAGATCGCTGGCCCTGCCAGCGCCCCTCACTCCTAACCCGCAGTACCCTGCCTCCGTCCCTGTTGGTGGCGATCATTCTGGACCTGCAGCCCCCTGGCGCTGCCAGTGCCCTGCACTCCTGACCCATAGTCCCCTGCCCGCCCCCTCCCCCAGTGCCCCTCACTCCCAAGACACAGCTCCCCCACACAGCCCTACTGGTGCCCCTCACTCTTGACCCACAGCCCCCTGCTCCCTCCAGCCCTGCAGGGTCTCCTGGCTGTCCTGCCCCTGCAAGCAGGGGAACTGGCCCCAGTGCTTCCGGCCCAGCCTTGAAGGGCCCACCCTTTCCCCCACTGAAGGGGCAGGCACGTCTCCCCACACCTCCCCTGCCCTGCTGGAGCCCCAGCACTTGGACAGCTTCCCCCTGCACCAGCAGGCACCTGCCCCCCATCACACACCCATCCCCTCCACACATCCCTGCCACATACATACACACAAACACATTCTCCCCCTGCAACAGTCCCCAAGCCCTGCCCCCCACAGACTTATCTGTATCCAGCTGCTGGGGCTGCTCTCACTACCCTGCCTGGCTGCATGCCGGCCACATGTGTGTGCACCTTGCCTCCAATTGCCCTCCTCCTGCTCCCCTCAGCCCCAAGCAGCTCCTTGCTAGTGCAACCCAGGAAAAACTTCAAAGCTGAGCTGACCAAAATCCCAGACATTTGATTGATCATATTTAAAAAACCCACCTGGACAGAGATCAAAGATGACATGTCCAGGAAAACCCAGATGTATGGTAAGTCCCAGTCAGAGAATCAGGTGTGTTTAGTCTAGAGAAAAGAAGGTTAAGGGGGACAAGATAGAATTTTCTTAATATTTGAAAGGGTACCTCAAGAAGAGGGAA